CCAAAGGGGGCGGAGCGTATCTTTATGCTAATCAGATTGGATGTGATGGTGTGTGTTGCTGATTTTCAGATCCATAAAAGCATTTTAAATGCCTTTACGATAATGATAGTAGTGACTTATGCTTTCCAGGTGGCCGTCTTTACTTCGATGGTTCCGCGTTGGTTGCTGTAAATGGAAATGTCGTTGAGATTGCCCCGCAATTTAGCCTTCGAGAAGTCGAAGTAATCAGCGCGACCATCAATATTGACACCGTTAGATCATTCCGCTGCAGGACAACATCCTTGAGGGCTCAGGTGCATTTCCAGAAAATGTCTCTCCCTCCATTGTGGATCTCGTTGCAGGCATCCCACGCAACAGTTCATTTCCAGCGTGTCTCAGTTCAATTTTCGCTGGCTCCTTCTTCAGACGTCCCTTGCTTTTTGTCTTCACCGCGTGTGAGTTGATAGCGACCTTTCTGTAGATTTCTCTCACGTTGGCTCAGCCACAACTCCTGTATCTTCTCTCGTTTCTAGTCCCCAATCCAGATTGCGGAGCCGATGCAAGAGATTGCTAGCGGTCCCTCTTGCTGGTTGTGGGATTATCTGCGACGCTCAGGGGCGTCTGGATTCTTCGTTCCACTTTCTGGTGGAGCTGATTCTGCTGCTGTCGTCACGATTGTTGGCGCTATGGCCCAGGAAGTTTGTACCGCTATGGAAGCCGGGGACGAATGTCAGTGCCATTTCACATCATCATCTTATCTGTCAGTGTTTCTTATCCAGTTTGTCATTAGCGAAGTTGAGAGAGTGACTCGAATGTCACGAGAGAAGGAAGGATTTCCCAAGCAGCCTGCTGCTCTTTGCAACATTCTCCTGCACACGTGTTTTATGGGGTCAACAAATTCATCATCGTCAACACGACAAGCAGCGACTGCTTTGGCGGAAGAGATTGGAGCGTTCCATTTCTCAATCGCAATCGATTCGGTTGTCAGCGCGTTTCTGAGTGTGTTCCAGCTGGTTGCTGGTAGAATTCCAAAGTATTCGTTGTTTGGCGGAACTCCAGCAGAAGATTTGGCACTCCAGGTAAGCACACTATTTATGGAACAGATTTCTTTGGACTTTTACTTCTTTGGACTTCCATTTGTTCAGAATATCCAAGCACGTATTCGAATGGTGTTCAGCTATTTGTTCTCCTCCTTGCTTCCCTGGATTCGTTCTAAAACGGGATACTTGTTGGTGTTGGGAACTGGGAATGTGGATGAGGCACTGAGGGGCTATCTGACTAAATACGATTGTTCGAGCGCTGATATCAATCCAATCGGCTCAATCAGCAAAGTTGATCTAAGAGCATTTCTTAGGTGGTCTGTTGTGAACTTGGGATACAACAGCTTAATAGATATCGTAAACGCACAACCGACAGCAGAGTTGCGACCAATTGATGAAGCAACAACGGGGAAGGAAGTTCACACGCAGACAGATGAAGACGACATGGGTCTGACATACGAGGAACTTGGGTAAGGGAATCCGATCTGTGACACACGGGACTGCATCTCATGTATTTATTATTTTTGCGCTTGATAGAATTTTCGGAAAACTGCGGAAGGTTTTGCGCTGTGGTCCTGTTTCGATGATGCGCTCGCTTGCACTCACTGAGAAAAGTCCCTTCTCTCAGTTGAGTCTCGCAGAAGTCGCCGGAAAAGTGAAGCATTTCTTCAGCTGCTATGCGAGCAATCGACACAAAATGACCACATTGACTCCATCATATCATGCTGAAGCGTACAGTCCTGACGACAACCGTTTCGACCATCGGCAGTTTTTGTATCCACCATTCGAGACACAATTTGCTAAAATCGACGAAATTGTTTCTGGTGCTCCTCAATGATTCTCAAGTTTTTTTCAACACAAAAAAATTATTTTTACTGAACTCTTTGCAGAATATCAACAATATAAAGTGCCTACCTTACGAAGGATTATCAGTGCCTAGCTGCTAGTGCTCACAGCATGAGGGCGATGAAAAGCATGCTGCCATTTTGGCGGACACTATTTGCGATGACAGGAACAATAATTTTGGGTGAATGGTTGTTGTTTTGTTGTTGTTTCCGCGTGGCTTGAAGTCTGCAGCTCTTAAGCTCGTTTCAAACACCTCCGAATTGCCTTCACGCTTGGCACTCTCAACTTCTTTCCATTCGCAATAATTCGCAATAGAAGTTCTTCTTCGTCGAGTCATAAATACACTTCTTTTTTATCCCCTTGGAAAGCCGGAGTTGTTGCCTTTGCTCTTGTTCAGCTCTGCGAACTGCCCTTCGAATCGGCTTAAATTTGCCCAAGGTGCGACACTTGATGAAATGCACATGAATACGACGAGCCATAAGATCAAGCTGGTTGGAAATCAAAGCGTTTCCTGCAACAGGCAAGTTATAGGCATTCCTCACCCCTAAGAAAAGGCGCATAATAGTAAAAGCTGGAAGTCTGTGCTCACAGTGCTGATGCACAAGCAACCAATTGTGAGGAGCTCATTCCACCAGAAGGTGGGGCTGCATGGCGCTCCAGCACATTCATCTCGCTCTTCTTTAACATGCGCAACGCAGTGTAGTAAAATGGAAATCGTTTCCATAGTTCCCCAGCGCCATCTCTATCAGCTTTGTGAATTCCGAATCATCTATCAAAGCGGTTTCTTTCCCAAAGTTAGCACCTATTGCCCTCACTGTGGCCCACTCCTCGGTCGTTAGAAAGACCGGAGATGCTCGCACTGTCTCGAAGAAGACTAGAAGGCACGTCCTCCCCGACAGAGCCAAATGGCTTGTCAAGTGGGTGTACACTTCCTTGTTTCGGATGAATTCTTTCAAAGCAGTTCGACCCTGGCGGTTCGGATAATGAAACGACACCGCCAGATCCCTTTTGAACGACCAAATGTCCGTCAGAAGACGTCGAGCCTTTCTCATCAAATGAATTCTGGAATTTCCCGATGTTCACGCGATAGGAACAAACCACTCGGGGACTCTAACAAAGCAGTCGTTAAGATTTTAGAAACGTTGCACCCGGCTGCTAAACCTCTTACATGCACCTCCTATGCCTTTTTTTTTCGCCCATTCTTTCTCGCTCTTTTTGTTCTCCACGAAACGAGTTATAACCAACCAACACCAAACCAATTTAACTTAATGATGCTCGCTGTCGCGCTCTTCGGCCTCATTACGACGGCAACGGTTCTTTGCCGAACCATGTCCTTTGCGATAAGTACCCTAAGGGGCTTATTCAAACTCGCTCTCCTTCTCTTTCAGGTGACAACGGCGGTGTTCATCACCTTTGCTCTCTGCGCTATTACCCACACGTTCGTCCCCGTGCTCCCCTGGACTACAACCGCCCGCGACCTTCTCTTCCAGTCAACTCGGTGGTCCCTTGCGACGCTGGCTACCTCCGATCATCTGGAACGCTGCCTCGTCCACTACCACCAGCTCGCTGAAGCCTGCACCACCCATGTGTTCCCTCACATCCCATCGGTAGGTTGCTCTCTACTCCTTCTCATCTTCGTTTACAGCTCGCTCGAACATTTCTCGACCTCGCTTCTCGCCGTTGTGTCCGCTTTGACTGGCGCAGTCTCAACTGTTACCCCGACTCTCTGCCTCTATCCTCGCCAGCTCTACCTCCAACTTTCTAGCATACGTTAACACGAAGAGTGGTGGACGTTGTGGGCACAGTCAAAGCAACGACACTAGCAACCCTCAACAGACTCCAGCCAAGACAACAGCCTCAACAGAATCATCCATACACCACACCTCGTCTCCTCCCACCCAACAAACTCCCACTACAAGAGCAGCTATCTCTAACACATCCTCCCACCTTTCTACACCTTCTCACCAAGGCACTTTCGCTGCTTCATCCATCCAATCACTGAACTTAGAACTCTCCTCTCTCCTCTCCAATCCTTCCACTACCACACAACAACAAATCAACACCCTCTTCACCGCCATCCAACTCTTAAACATGAAAATCCAACTTCTCACCAATTCTCCAACCGATGTCGTCGCCGCCGCACCAGAAGAAATCCAACAATTTGCCCAAGCATTCCTCGACAACGACACTAGCATGACCACTCAGCCCGAACAAACACAAGACATCCCATCATCCTCCACACAAACAACCAACCCAGTCAACACCACAACAACGAACATTCCACTTACCTCACGCTCCGCTGTCCTCTCTCCCGCAACCGCTGCATCCTTCGCCGGCCGCCGCCTTTCAGAGGTACTCGAAGTAGTCAAAGATAAGAAGAAAACACACCACCAAGCTACTCGGAACCAACCACTCTCCTCGCCGCAACGGAAAGCCGCTGAAGACAAAGACATCGTCCGCCTGAACACCGAATTACAAAAGGAAGACTTTGCTCGCCGCCTTTCACGAACGAACGAACAACTGACTGCCCTCCCACCTCCGATCCATCCCAGACGACATCGCCAAGTGGACGAAGATCCAAGTCTCAAAATGGTTCAAATCTGTCTTCCACGCTCAATGGGCCGTCCGCCGCCTTGAAAAAGGCCTTCCTCTTGTTGAATGCCCCGTCTGTCACCGCGCCGCCGCTCCAGAGGATCACAACTGCCAAGTCATTTCCCAACGCCCTTCTCAATCCCGCCAGGGACTGCCCATGATGAACCAGATCCGGACCACCGCCGACGCCAAAGGAAATCTTCGCTTCATCCAAGAACGACTACCAGACGCCACACGCCAGCAACTTCTCTTCGACAAGCTACAGGAAACCGGATTCGCTGCACAGCACCAGCACCAGCCCTTTCGGACCAGTTATTCTGCTCCCTCCCGACTACCAACATCCCGACCGCCGAATTCAGTACTTCCTGAAGCGGTCGTACCTCCTCAGCCTGCCACTACCACGTCCCAAACATCCAATCATCCGCAAGGACCCCACCTTCCACTCCCCGCCAATATACACCCCACTACCAACCCACATTCAACTCTCACCCTCCAGCAAGCCCTCCAACTACCCACCAATGTCCCCCATGGCGCCATTGTCTCACCGACTCACCAACTGACATGTCCTACCGGATACCACGTCCGGTGGTTAACCACCAGCTTCGACCCCGTGACAGTCCGCCCTGTCCTGGTCCCAAATCAAGACGTTCCACCCAAGCAAATCCTAAAACGATCCAACGATACTCTCGCCCTCGCCACTGACTTCTCACCTCAGCTCTCAACGGCATTACAACTTGTCTCCTCCCGCCAGATGCGTCCTCCTACTCCTCCAAAATCTTCATCAAACACCTCATCCACTCCCCCCACTTCTTTTCCTCCACAAATCCTCGCCCCGTCAAGCCCTCCATCTCCCCCTCGTCCTTTTTTGCCCCCTCTCGCTCCCGCTGCTCCCCATTAAAACGCCGAGTCCACTTCCACCCTGTAACCGAAGAAATCATCACCCCCATTCTATTCCAGACCACCACTCCACGTCACCACCTACAAGCCCCGCTAACCCCTGTCCTCCCCTCCTGCTCATTCAAGCCAAGACTCACCATCCAAACACCAGTCACCCAACTGCTCCCCTTCCACCAAAATCATCACTCCTCCTACATCAACATCCTCAATTTTGAGTCCATCGACACCGTCACCGCCCTCCTTAACGCCACGATCCGCCGACCACTCGTCTTCATCACCATCACTCATCCTACAGCCAACAAGTCATTCAAAGCCCTCATTGACTGCGGCGCATCCATTAATATCATTCATACATTCATCCTTGACCAACTCCCCCACCAATCCCTCACTAACCTTCCCCCGCCATCCATCCACACCGCAACCAGCCACCGGGTCCCCGCATCCTCATGGGTTTCCGTCAAATGGATCCTACCCAACGGGCACCCCTGTGACATCCCCTTCGCTACAACAACGCAACTTTTCACCGAAATTATCCTTGGTCTCCCCTTCCTCATTGACAACCACTGCACATTAGACCTCGCCAATTTCATCCTTTCAACTAACCACGGCCCAATCCCCATCGAGTCCCAAACGATCATCCACGCCCAAACTCCCTCCGTTAACCTTCTCTTCGACTCCCTTGAACTTTTCCCTCCGCCTTTCCCCCTCTCCCAACGCGACACTGAAGCCTACGACCACCTTCAACAACATGTTACAACAGACTCAATCGACTACCCCACTTACATCATCGACCTCCACCAGCTCCTTTGGCATTACCGGGACATCTGGCTCCCCCAAAACTGGAGTCCCGGCAAATGCAACGTCATCACCCACCACATCATTCTTAACGACCCACGCCCAATCGTCGTCCGGCCAAAACACTATTCAGAAGAACAACGGGACATCATCATCGCCGAAACCGAGGCCATGCTCCGTGATAAAGTCATCGAACACTCCAACTCTCCCTACGCATTCGAACCAACCTTAACACTCAAGCCAGATGGACGTTGGAGATTCTGCATCAACTTCCAAAGACTCAACGCAATCACCACCAAGGACAACTACCCTTTCCCAAGAATCGACGACATCCTACACAGTTTCAAAGACAAGAGCTGTTTTTCAAAGATGGATATCCGGGCCGGGTTCTGGAATATTCCACTCGATCCCAAATCCAAACCACTCACCGCTTTCCGGACCCCAATCGGCCTCTTTCAGTTCCGTGTCATGCCTTTCGGCCTGGTCAACGCCCCAGCCACTTTCCAACGCGCCACCGACGAAACACTGAAGCACATCAAGCCATTAGGAGTCCAAATCTACATCGATGACATTGGAATTCCCACTCATGGACCAATCCCTAACCTCCATCTCACCCAGCAAGTCCTCAGTTGCCTCCGGGACCGAAACTTCCGCGTCTTCCTCCGAAAGTCCGCCTTTCTCAAGAACCAAGAGGAGTTTCTAGGCCAC